GCTACGCAAAGGAGAATTCGTATTCAGGTTCATTATAAGAGCACTTCCGATCTAATAAGTTGATAAGTCCAAAGCCAACCATGAAGGGAGCCCAGTAAGTTATAAGAATAAAATAGTAAATGAATGTAATAGTAAATCATTACATTTACCAAGTTAGTTAGATTCAGGGCTTGACTCCGTCAATTTTAGATCTTTTAAGCAAATCCAAAATGTACTTTGATTGGTGAATAAAAATGTCTGATGAAGATCTTTGAACTTCTAGCCCAAGAAAATAATGAAGATCACCCAAATTCATATGCATACATATTAAATACATTAATTCTGGTTCGAATTATTAAACTTAATGGTTTGCCTCTTAACCCTACAATATCAAGGTCGGCCCTGCTTCTGTCACATTAATTTGTTATAAGTTTGAAGTTTGGTGCATATAACATTGCTTGCATTTATTCACGTGGTGGTTTCAGGCGACCTAGGTCAGACTGAATGGACTAAATCAACCCTACAACACATCGGAGGAATGGACTACGATGTGCTTCTCCTCCCCGGTGACTTGTCATACGCCAACTCACTCCAACCCCTTTGGGACTCCTTTGGCCGCATTGTCGAGCCCTACGCCAGCAAACGCCCATGGATGGTCACAGAAGGCAACCATGAAATCGAGAACTTCCCTCCTGGCTTCATGGCCTACAATGCCAGGTGGCAGATGCCGTACCAAGAGAGTGGCTCCACCTCCAACTTGTACTACTCTTTTGAAGTTGTCGGGACCCACGTCATCATGCTGGGGTCCTATGCTGAGTTTGATGCTGAGTCGGATCAGTACAAGTGGCTTCAGGCTGATTTAGCAAAGATTGATAGGAAGGTGACGCCGTGGGTGGTTGTGCTTCTGCATGCACCTTGGTATAATACCAATACTGCCCATAAAGGTGAAGGGGAGAGTATGAGGCAAGCAATGGAAGAGTTGTTGTACAAGGCAAGGGTAGATGTCGTTTTTGCAGGGCATGTTCATGCGTATGAACGATTTGTAAGTTGGATTAATTTGATTCCTTACGTGCAAATTCGTTAACATTAATGAATGGCTAACAGTGTATTTTATGATTAACTTTGTTAATGATTGATGTTATGAAAACTGGGGTTTCTAACGTTGTTAGCCATATAATGTTGCAGACTAGGGTTTACAACAATGAAGCTGATCCATGTGGTCCGGTGTATATGACCGTTGGTGACGGTGGAAACCGCGAAGGACTAGCTTTAATGTAAGTTCTCTTTATTTTAGGTCAAGATTTTGTGTTGCTAGGATGTTATTATGACTATTGATACCTTGATGGTAACATTAGTTGTTCCTGAGATTTAAAAACACTCCAAAAATAAAAAAAAATAAAAAAAACGAAACTATCTTTTACATTCATTCTGCATATTCAAATATATGTAGATTGTACAATGATCCCGTCTCCTTACACCTAAGTTTGAATTTATCTCTCCCAAGATTAACGGACCATAGATACATAATCTTAGAAGATAACCTTATATACAGAGAGCTTAAGGGGAGGGATCCCCATTTTTTGAAAAAAATGGGGATTAGGTGTGGGGCCCACTTCACATCTAATTTCAACGATCCGAACCGTCTATTTTGTTAGTCTCGATTCATAGATAATCCTTGCAAAAATTTAATTCAATCCGAAACCATTTGCCTATTTAATTATCAATATCAAATTTCATATTTTCTTATATAACAAAGTATTCGTTCATTTCCTTGAACCCAATTAGATGTCTTAAACATTTCCAAATTAGCTAATATTTTGCAAGGATGATCTATGAATCGAGACTAACAAAATAGACGGTTCAGATCGTTGAAATTAGATGTGAAGTGGGCCCCACACCTAATCCCCATTTTTTTCAAAAAATGGGGATCCCTCCCCTTAAGCTCTCTGACCTTTTTATATATATATATATAATTGTTATTGGGATTTCAAAAATCTCATTCTACACTCCAAACTTTCTATATTTGGAAAGTAAAATACACTTGTGAGGAGTGTAGAATAAGATTTTTGAAGTACCAATAACACTTCCCTCTATATATATATATATGTACGTATGTATGCGTGTGTGTGTTAATTTTCTATTCATAATAACCAAACTTTTAACCATCTTTATAAATGTAGGTTCGAAGATCCGGCTTCCCCTCTGTCTTTGTACAGAGAGCCTAGTTTTGGACATGGAAGACTCAGAATAGTAAACGAAACACACGCATTTTGGGGATGGCATCGAAACAACGAATCAAACTCCGTTGTAAAAGACCAACTCTGGTTAGAAAGTTTGAGCAGTTCCAAGGCATGCTTGCATCCTGGGAACCAGAAGGTGGGTTCATCATCCGTTAACGATGAATTATAGGCTCACATGTTACACACAAAGTTTACAATATCTTAGCCTTCTTGTTTTTTAGCTCGCAAAGATTGGAAGTCACAAGGTTTCTGAGTGCAAATATTTATAAATTCTTCTTTTGTAATTAAGTGCAAGGTGTAGATTATTACCTTTGATTTCTTAGTTTATTATCATGTTTCTGTATTGGATGCTTTGTAAAAAAAACAAGTTAGTGTAAATTAAACATCAGATTGTGTTTTGTCTTGGATTGTGATTTTTCTGTCTAAAAATCAACTGTTGTAATTAATCTTGTTGGTCCTAAAAACATTTGCAAAAGAAGCAAATTTACATACGTGAGTAAGGCTAATTGGTCGAGACAGGAACGTGTTTCCTTACGTCGAAATTTGAATCCATCCATCTCCATGTAAATTAGAATTGTTTAAATTACCGCATTGTTGCGAAATAATTATAAGACAACTCAGAAGCTAGCATTTGTGATGTCAACAAAATACTCAAACGTACAACAAATGGGCTAGATTCCTATTGCAAATTGCAATTCAAAGAAAGCAGGCTGGCTGAGTGGTTGGCTACTTGGCTTATTTAACAAAGACGACCAAAGTCATGCCCATATAACTCATTGTTTGTTAGTCTTTCCTTTTCCAAGGAAACATGACGTGATGAGTAAGTATGATCATATTCATATACTATTACTAGTGGGATGTGTGCTTGCATTTCAGTGTCGATGATTATTAACATCCAAACCCTGGCAATTCGTTTTTTGAACACGTGACGAATATTTATTGGACAAATGATATCACTAAAATTATAACTCGATTCTAAAAGAGTTTTTCTCATAAACGTGGCCACAAAGGCAAGTCTTAAAAACCTAAAAGATGGATCACTCGCCACCGAAAATTCTTCATAAAACACCAGCTAAAGCTAAACTCAAACCCATTCTTCGTATCACCGCCGGTTGAAAGGTGGCAAACATGCAAATCCAAAGAAAGCTCCCACATTACAATCGCAACAATTTCAGTCCTCGGTCGAAAACAAAATACCCCGAATCAAGCAAATACCGAGAAGGATCAAGTACTGTAAACAAGCCAAAGAAACTCAAAGGGCGCGTTTGGTGGGCTGGCATGAATTGTCATGGATATGACTTGCAGTATTGGACTAAATTGGATGAGACTTAACTGGATTTATTTCCGTTGTTTGGTAATCACTAAGCCAGCTTGACTGGACTAGCTATGGTTATTATTATTTTTGAATAATTAAACTTTCAATGTTTTTTAACATAAGACACACTTTTAATAAATTAATAAGAAAAATAAATTAAGGAAACTAAATTAAAAAAATAAAAAGATACCACCATCAGTGACTTGCGACCCACACCTGAAAAATCACATCTCCGATTCACCAGAACAAAGGAGATGAGAGAAAGCCGCACAAACGAAGAGGTTAGCTCGCCGGAATTGTCGCCGAAGTGGAGGAAGAACGCTGGAATTTGTTGCCATAACCAAGAAAGAAGAGAGGACGGCAACGAAGACTGAACGAAGACTGAGGGGGTCGGCTTTGTAACCCATGGTCATGTCTGATTACAAAACCCGTCCATTATGGATTTAAATTCCGAATTTAAGTCTGAGGCACTGTTGACTCATCAAACATGGGCTTAGTTACAATTTAGTGCCTCACTTTTGATCACTGAGATTTGAAATTGATAGAAATGATCATTGAATTTATCCATCACTGATCATTTTGATCATTTTGTGAAGAAAAAGAAAAAGAAACTGTTAAAAAGGAACTAAAAAGACAGAAATACCTCAATTTAATAAAAGGAAAACTAATAAAAAGGGTTTGAAAACTTTGAGTTTTAATGATAAGGACAAAATAAAGGGTAAAGTGAATAGTACCAGGTTTGACTTTTTAGTGTAAAAATATGGTTTTTCGTTAAAGTAAACAGTATCGTGGGCTTTTCGTTAAAACTCCCTTTAATAAAATGATTTGACAAAAAGTGAGTGTATTTTGTCATTTTATTCTTATTTAACGGAGAGTTTTCACGTAATGATCAAAATGATTGATGATGGATAAACTCGAGAACTAATTTTATCGATTTTAAATCTCATGGACTAAAAAGTGAGAAGTTATACCATTTCAGAAATAATTTTAGTTAAAAAAACCTAAAAGAAAATAATTTGTCCCTAACCAACCCATGACCCAAACACTCAAGTAACGCAGCGAACTAGTGTTGTGACGAGATCCGTCAAATCTAGAGGGAATGGTAGCGACAGGCACATGTATGAGCGAAAAAAAATCCTAAATTCGGGCCAAGTAGCCCCCAATCATCTTCATTTTCTAAAAGCACACAACATGGCAGATAATTTTCCATGTAAACAAGCCAACATCAAACCATACCCTACAAGGTTATGTATTGCGACTTGGTTTGCCGACGGGGATCAATCGCAAGGAATCATTTACCACAATAATGATAATGAGTTTAGTCTTTATATGACGACGTGAATTCAAATTTTGTCGGTGGTTAATCTAACTTGACAAAATCTATCATTTGAAAAGAAAAAAAAATTAATCGAAAGCAAGTCGCACCATGAGACGATGATGGAAGATTAAATCGAAAGAGAGACGAATCGACACGGAAATTCTACCCGAAATTTCACTCCCAAACAAGAAATTCGTTTTTTTTTTTTTTTTTTGGTTTTTTAACTTACAAGCCAAATCCCACAATAACTTATAGTAAAAGCTAATATAAAATTAAATTAAAAAGCTAGGGGAAAAAGAAAATATATTTATATCAGCTTAATTCCCACGCGTGCTCGATGAACGGTCCTGATCATATCGTCAGTTCCGCGGACAGCCTGATTGATTGAAACCCGCCGATCAGCGATTTGAATTTTGACAAAGGTGTTAGATCCGACGGACCGGATCAAATCTTCTCGAGCTTCTCGGCTATGACCAACGGGTTGCTCCTGGCGATCTCCTCCCTCCCGAGGGTCTTGAAATCGAACGAGCACGCGTGCTTCTCGGGGTACCTGTGAACCCCGCAGAACGTGGTCCCGCACCTGCACTTGAACCCGGTCAACCCGACCCGTTTCCTGCAAACGGTGCACCGGTTCGGCTGCGACACCACCGTAGCCACCTCAGGAGCCCGAACAACTTCAGCGGGCTCACCGATTATATCTCCGGCTACCTCCGGCAAAGTCAAGGCCGGGGGCGGAGGTTGGCAGAGAGTCTCGATCGCTGCCGGAGAGGCAGGCAAGGATGTTGAAGGAGGGGAAGAAGGAGCGGAGAGAGAGGAAGAAGCGGCATCGGCAGCGGAGGCGGAGAGGGAGGCTTCGACGGTGGATTTGATCGACGCCTGCTGCTGCTCCTTGAGGCAGAAGTCTCTGTAGCATTTGGAGCAGAGGTTCATGGTGGCCGGGCTGCCGAAGAATCCGCAGTTGTTTGCGCAGAGGTGGTGGCCTTCTGGGGCTTCGCATCTGTGCTCTTCCGCCATGTCTGCTTACAATTTCGCCTCAAGATCTTGTTTTTCTTAAATTCGCCAATCGGATTCGATTAGATCAGATCGTCGTCGTCTTCGCCAAAAAGAATTGATTTCGGAAAACCGATCTGCGATCGAGAGTACAAAATAATCAAAAAAAAATTGACGAAATCTCAAACGCTTTTCCGTTAAATTATTTTGAGAAACCGGAGGATTAATTAATAATTAATAATCCTGAGGTGTGCTGTTTGGTTGCTGAGAAACCACATGAAGGAAAAAGAAAATCCGCTCTCCGGTTCCCAGACTCCAAAAAACAGCGAGCCCTGCGGCTAATCTTAAACCATCAGCGGCCAGAGGATCCGCGTTTTTGGAAACTAATTTTTCGGAACCAAACGAAGCGGATTCTGGATTCTCCCATCTGTTTTCTTTCATTTTTCCTCCTTAATTTTCTCAGCTACCAAACAGAAAATTACCAAAAAAAATTTAAAAAAATAATATATATATATATATATATATATATATAAAAGGTGGGAGGGAGAGATTTCAGTACCTGTGTGAGGAGGAATGAAGAGATTTTCTTGTGAAGCGAAGCGAGGAGAGGGGATAAGAATATGAAGGAGGAGAGAGAGAGGGGGTTTAGAATCTTAAGACGGAAGATTTATCGAGAAGGTCAGAGGGAGGAATATTAATTATATCATATTAAACAAGGGAAGGAGCGGCGAAACGGGACAAAAGTAGAATTATCGTCGTCCAAAGTTAATATGATTGATTAGCAATTTTATTTGTTGCACAAGAATGTCGTCACCTTCGCGTTATTCTTCTATTTAAATTATAACTATACCTAATATGCGAATATGCGTGTTGTATTTTTTGTATTCGTGTCGTTTTTATAATTTCTGGATTTATATTATTTTTGTGTTATACCCGATATCTTAACAGGTTGTATCGTGCAAGACCGTTAAAACGAATATGACCTAATCCGAAATCGAGTCATTATGACCTGACATATTACCTATTAGAAAAAAATATATTTAAACCAATATATAAACAAATGGAAAACATAATAATAAATTAGTCTAATGATATTCTTCTGAGATTTAAATTTGATTCTCGCTAAAGGTAAATTGAACCATATTATTATAGCTAATCTATTATGAGGTTTATCTCACTCACTCACTCCTTAATGTAAATAATATCGTTTGAATATAATTGTAACTAAATCAATGAGAGATGTTACAGAGACGTTTTTCAAAGTGAGATTTTTTATGGACTATCTGTCATCTCATAGTTTAGCATCAATTTATGTGTCAACATTATAAAATGTTATACTACAAACATGAGGTGGTAAATAGTATATGGAAAGTCTCACTTTTAAGAGAGTTTCATCAGCATGTGCAATTAAAATCTATACGTTTTGTGTTCTTGATGTTTATCGAGGTTTGAAATCAGTATTAAAATTGATTATGAAGTTTCAATATTTTCACATTGCGTTAAAAAACAAACACTTTAAATGTTAGATACATATGAAAAAATTGAAATATCATGACCCATTTTAAATCAACTGCTATATTCAATGGTATAGTTCACTTAGTAATACAATCTAATAGTATTTCTTTTTATTTAAGGGACCTTAGGTTTGATTTTCACGGAATGCGAGTTTCAACTGTATTATTGCTAACCTATTGTGAGGATTGGTTCATTTCTCTATATGTTTAATATTAATAATATCATTTGTTCAAAAAAAATAATGACGTAAATGTTTGCTCATGATTGAGAAATCAAAAATTAATTTATGAAAAATTGGAATTATGGTAGGAGACAGCCTGGAAAATTCACATAAAAGTTGGGAAATGATTGTGATTGATAAATAAAGGTTACGGAAAATCATGCATCTGGCAACGCGTGGCTTTTTCTTTTCCTTTTTCCTTTTTTTTTTCCTTTCTAATTTGTTGTTTTTTATTTTATTTTTAAGGGGTGGTCCTATTGCAGGGGAGGGAGGTGGTTAGGTTGGTCCGCCTCCCTGGCGCAGCCGTATTCGGAGCAACAAAGCCGAAACCAAACCTGGTGGTAGGTACATTGAATTCGGTTCGCCAGATACGGAGTATTTTGGCTACTATATATAGCTTTCTTGTTGCTTAAGAAAAAAAGAAGATTTATTTGCATTTTTTCTCCCAAATTTTGTATGATGTGTGGGAATTGAAGCTCATTCAGTTGGTTCAGAGTTTTTTCGGTTACGATATAAAAAATTGAGCTCAAAATCGAAACCTGCAAAATATGTAGAATTGAGTGATGTAAGGATTCGTCGGCACATGAGAGAATTGTAAGATCATCTTCAAAAGAGATGTCAAATCATAAGTGGAATGTCATGTAATCAAATTTGAAAGTAGAAGCAAGCTCGAATCAATATGTCCATCCTATATGGATTGACATATGAGAAAATGTGATGACAAATAATTTTTAATTATTTTATTGTGTGAGTCTTATTAATACATTAATTATAGATCTTGAAAATTTTATTTTTAATTGATTTCTTTTTAAAATGGGTTCTACAAATATTATTTATAACAAAAAAAACAGATCAGTTGGAAAATGAGAAATTTTGACATTGTCACGTCAGCTATCAAATTAACATTTGACATTTATCTTTTGACATCTCTATTGAAGATGCTCTAAAAAGTAAGGGTAGAGTGAGTGCAAGTTGAGAAAGCTTTCAATTTCAAACCAATATTGAGCTCAAAGCCAAAAACCATCAACTACGTTGAAAGAATTTTGGATTTGATGCACATCAATTTTGGCGTTTAGTTATAATTCTCAAAATAACACAATTGTTTATTGGAAACTTTAACGAAAAGTACCCGGTACTGTTCACTTTAACGAAAAACCACATTTTTACACTAAAAAGTCAATCCTGGTACTATTCACTTTACCCTTTATTTTGTCCTTATCATTAAAACTCAAAATTTTCAAGCATTTTTCATTAGTTTTCCTTAGTTTATTAGGTGATGTATAGATATATGCGAGTATTTTAAGTTAAAAATTGTTAAAAATAAGAATAGAATGAGTGCACGATCATATTTTGGAGAATTTTTAAAATTTTTGAGAATTTTTTTGTTATTTTGTTAGTATAAATAATAAAATAATTATACTGAATTCATCTAAACAATCAAAGTTAGAAAAAAAAAATTCAAAAGTTGCATGGGTTGGGTAAATATGGTTTGTGGAATCTACCAAAATGTGAAGAAACCGCGTTTAAGGAAGCAACTATGAAGTGACTTGTCTTGTTGCAGTTGTCCACTTTGACCACCACTTCTTTACATCGTGATAATTATCCATGGCTTAGAAAAAGAAAAACTTGGGGTAAATTAAGGAAAATGATCATTTTCGGATTTTATGTGTAGGGATTCAGAAGATTAATCACTTATATCCGTTTATCGTACATTATAAGGTCATAAATTATTTTAAATTTAAATTTTAAAATTAAATATAAATAGTATCTAAAGAAAACTGATCGCACGATATATAATAAACAAATATAATTGACTGATTCCTTAAATCCCTACAAAGAGGATCCGATCCTTTTCCGTAAAGTAAATCAAGATTCACGTGTAAATTGTCACTGGCTACCTATGGTTCTCATCAACTGCCTCCTTGGAATCCACCAATCTTTTAGAGATTAAATAAGTTAATCGTGGTTAATTCCCTAGACACATGGCGCTCATTAAGAATACGTAATAACGCGCACCACGAAGTAATGGTGGCGAATAAATTCGGGTGAGGATGCTCTTTGTGGGGATTCTAGAGATTCTTATATTCTAGTCATTCATTGTATATCGTGTGTTCAATTTTCGTTAGGTACTATTTGTGTTTAATTTTAAATAATAAAAAATTAAATTATTTCTGACCGTGCAATGTACGATGAATGGCTAAAATGTGAGAAACCCTAAAATCCCCATAATTTAGATCTGAACGGGATCCAAATCCAACAAATTCGAACTCTATAAGTGAACTCCTACCATTACCACAACTACATCTATTGTTATTGGAGTGAGATTATTTTCCCTCATATTCTCATTCCCTTCCTTCTCTTCTTTCACAAATTGTTTTTTTGTCTTCTTCTGGCCAATGACAAAGGCAGTAACAAGGCTAGGGTGGGCTCTAGCATAGGGAAAATTTTAGTTGTTTGGGCTTAAAATACTAATAATTTAGACAACTTTATTATTTTTAATTATTATAGCCCACTCAATAAGTAAAAGTTCAGTCATTTAGTACTATGGTCTAGTAGTATTCCTCTTCACTTAAAAGTGAGAGGTCTTAGGTTCGAATCTCGTGGATGACGAATTCGATACCAAATTAGGCTACCCATTGTGTGATTTAGCCGAACTCTCTATATCCTCTTAATGTAAAAATATTGATACACTCAAAAACAAAAAAATAAGTAAAAGTTCTTACACTAAGATTACTTTTATAAAAAGAAAGAGTTAAAAAAATATTAAATAAATTGTTTATTTTAGTGAAAATTATGAACACTCCTAGGTTTATTGGGGAGTAGTCTATAGGTTTTAATATTTTATTATTTTTAGATTTCCTACGGAGTAGTCACATGGTTTAAAAAAAGGAAAGAGGTTGTCTCCATATCTCTTCTACGAAAGTCCACGGATCAAGTGATATGGACATTTAAAATTTGATCAAACGACTAAAAATAGAGGCATATTTTAAAAATTATAATAATTTTAGCCGTTAAATCAAATTTCAAGAGTTCGAATCACTTTATCATGGGTTTTGATGGAAGAGATCCGGAAAGGATCTATGTCCTTGAAAAACTAGGTTTTAGTATTTTATTATTTTAGGTTTCATAGGAAGTAGTCACACACGGTTCTAGGTTTTTAGGAGTAATTATTCACTTTAATTATTTTATTCATTTTAATGAGTACTTACACGTTGCTTAAGGCTGTATTTTTGGCTTTTGGCTATAACAATAGCCCATGTTTTTTCTCTTTTCAGAAAGCTTTGGTGACATTCGTGTACAATTCACAAATACTGAGCCTACAATTGTGAAAGTTTATTGATTTTTCTCATCAATAGGTAAGTTTCTCACTACTTTATTCGTAATTTTTGATGAGTTTATTTGTGTTGTGGCTTATGTTTAACTATGGGGTGCGGCATGGAGAGAAAGAGAGTGGAGAATAGATCTTCTAGATCCCAAAGGATTCCTACCTAATCTATCTCTACTTAGGATTTACACAATCACAATATGTATTAGAACATATGTCACAACAATTTGTTTATTGTTTGAATTGTGTTGTCTGTGGTATGTACTTAAATTTTTATCCTATCTAGGTTTCCTAAGCTTTTGGAACCAATTAAAATTTTTGGAAATGTTTGGTGATTGTGTGTGTGTAGCTGAAATGTAGACCACACACACACATGTTGAACGTACACACCGCACAAACACATAGATCTCTCTCTCCTCCCTCTCAATTTTCTTCCGTTCTCGTCAACCTTGTACGGACGAACTCTAAACCTTCCATTTCAGGCACAGATCGAGGTTTTAAAGGTAACATTCAAACTCTTTACAAGCCTCGAAGTCGATTTATACCTTTATTTGGACTTAAAACCTTCAAAAACCTTAGTTTCTCACGAACTCCGATTAAGGTACTGTTCATGCACTAATTAATGTGAGGTTTTGAGGAGTTTTTAAGGGCATAGGGAGCTTTGAATCATCCTCACGAAGCTCGGAGAAGAAAAACCAAGCAATTTGGACGTCGGGAAATCGAGTTCGACGAGTTTTAAGTTTTCGCCAGATTATCGAGCTTTCTCTGGTGAGTTTTCGTGGATTTCAAGCCTTGAAATTGGTAAGGATGTGTTCTTCTAGTTATAAGCTTTAAATTGAGACCAATTTCATGAGTTTTGGTTAAGAAATGATTGGGATACAAGGTTTTAAAGTTATTTTCCAGTTTTCGGCGACGGCAACGGTAATCGGAGTTTGAAGGTAGGGGATGACGGAATATTCCTAAAGGCGTTGGTTAGTTTTAACGGTTTATGTTACTTTTTAACGGAATATTCCTAACGGGGTTAGGGGATTCCGTTAGGGTCCCTGTGCGTGGCCGCGCGTAGGGCAGTGCCCTTGCCGGCGCGTGACGGCGTGTGAGGGCTCCAAAAATTATTTTAAAATTTTGGGCGTGTTTGTGGAGTTGTGTAGGTCATGATGGTATATTTATATACCTCATTTGAACAATGTATGAGAAGTTATTAGTTAGTATTGGTTATGTGTTTTAAATTAACGTTTTTATAGTTATTTTGCATATAGGTGAGACCTATCCCGAGAATGAGCGCAGTCAAGGGCGACTCGGGGGCTACGACCCTTCGACATACCAATGAGTTGGCTTTTGGTTTTCAGTATATACTTATATACTTGATATTTTCCTAGAAAATGCATTTAACTAAGTTATGACTTAAATTGCCATGCCAAATGTTTTACATTTAGAATATGCATATGTTGTTTGCATATATATATATATATGTATGTATGTATAATTGCGGTGATGTGAAAGCTCATGTAAGTCCCAGGTGAGTTTATAAATTGTGAATGTGAATAATGATTGTGATTAATTGAGAAACATTAAGCTCATGAACCTGCACCCTGGTGTTAGTGATTTAGTTAGAGATATGACACATGCCTATATATAATGTCACATCTTGCACCATATGCTCACATTGGATCCAATTTAGGTGCACAGTCTTGTCGTACAAACCATCATAGGTGGTTCCGACTCGTAGGTGGTTCCGACTCGTAGGTGACTAGCAATTTATCGCAAAGCTATCATGAGTGCGTAGCATTGAGCATAACTATATTACACCCAGTCTTGTCGTACAGACCCTTACAGTGGTTCCAACTCGTGTGCAGTGTAGTGTCGTATAGGTCACTTGTAGTGACTCCGGCTAGATTGATTAATGAGCTACAAATTCAACCGTACAAACTTCTGCATGGGTTCCGGCCAATATGTTATTTTCCATGAATTTATTTTCACCCGAGTTACTTATTCTGTTTATACCTTGGCATGGCATATTTATGATTATGAATATGTGAAGCATGATTTGAATATATATATATATATATATATATATATATAGATGTATATATTTATATTCTATTTCTAGGAAAAATTATACATGTTTTACGGCGAGGGGTTAGAGCATTTGGTAAATGAAATGATTTTGAAAAGCTTTGTTTTTGCCCACTTACATTTCTATTTTGCGCCCCTCCAGATTTTAGGTAGACTTGCTGTTGGTGGCATTTGATGATCTTGGCGGTTCTGAGAAAATATAATATTCGTAGGATATCTTATGGTACTGTATAACTAGTACTTGTCCTACTGGACTGTACCTAGATTTTCTACGCTCTGATTAGGTGTATTTACACTTGTATCTCATTCCTAGCACTTTCTACTTATTAGTGCACATTAGTTAGCTTTCGGTTTTTCTTTATTTGTATATTTCTTATCCTTATCGCTTCCGCACTGTGCATATGGCTACGTCACCCTCACGTGACGGCCATCACGCCTTGATTTTCAATCAGGGTGTGTCACAACGTCTGTTCGATGAGAGGTTAAGAATTATTGATTCATTCTTTAGAAAACGAGATGATGGTGATAAATTAGAGAGTGATATACCTTTTGCATTTACTGAACGAGCTTTTTCAGCAATGAATCTTGTTAAAACAAGACTTCGCAACAAGATGGAGAGTGAATTTTTAGCAGATTCAATGGTTTTCTACAGTGAAAAAGAGCTTGCCGAAAATATTTATTCAGATGAAATAATAAAGGATTTCAATTCCATTAAGGATCGAATGGCACAACTTGAATAGGTATTTTTTATTATTTGTTAGGTTGTTATGACAAGATTGATGATGTATGTTTCTTTCTATTATAAGTGACAACTTTAAATGTTTTCTTTGTTAAATCTAGTTGAAACTTGATTTATCCAAAGTTAAATTTCTTACTTCAAATTATTGCTTTTAGGCTTATTATTATGTAACTTTATGTAAGTAACAAAAAAAAAATTAACCATTTGATTTCGTAGTAATAATTTTAGTTTAGCCCACCCACCAAATAATTCCGGGCTCCACCATTGCTTCTGACTATTAAAAAATCAACACAAAATGTTGACGTGGCTTAGCCATAACCATTCAAATATGAAGGGAAGGAAAGAGAGAGAGATTATGAGAGCAGAGAATCAATCCCATTGCAATTTGTACATCCATCGAGATCAAATGTGAAATGCTTTAGCTTCTATTATGTTTAATTTGTTAGCAGACAAAGATTAAAATACAAGCTATAATGGAGGAGAGAAAATTAAACCTAGGACTTCGGATGGAAAAATAAATGTTTGTAAGCGTTTGAGCTACACGCAACTGTCTAGTGAATTGTTAACTGATGACATGGAAGTGCAGGACCTACTTAGACCTAGTTTGGGAGTGAGGTGCTTAAAAAAAAAAGCACATGTGAAAAAAAGCTGAGAGGGTTTTAGGTGTTTGGTAAACTGAAAAAAAATGGCTTATTTTGGAAGCTGCTGTGAGAATAAGCTGAAATCAAAGGAAAAAGCTGAAGCTGCTATTTGCAGCTTTGGAAAACTGGCTTTTTTTCAAAGCACACGGAGCTACAGTGCTCCTTTAATGAAAAGACCCACTATCAGACTGCTTTTTTTTCCAAAAGCACTTTTACAAAAAAGTTTACCAAACGCTCTGCTGATTTATTTCACAGCTGCTTATTCTCACAGCACAGCCGCTTATTCTCACAGCAGCTTTTTTTCAAAGCACAGCAATACCAAACCAGCCCTTACTAAACCCATAATTATATCACATATAACACACCAAATCCATTTTCAAGATGTGAAAAATATTTTAGTGCTCAAAACTTGCACCCTTCTTTTTTTTTTTTTTTTTTGGGTAAAGGGGCTACTTTATTACTAAAACACAACATAATTACATGAACAAAGACCCAAATACATAACCTACACGAATAAAAAATGGACCTCTATAGTAACCCAAGAGCCCAAATGTAGTTTTGTGCCCAAAACACAAACACACAAACAAACCCTTGTTGGGATTGGAAGCTTAACTTGAGTTAAAACCGTCTTGGGGTTCACTTTTAGGAATTGCAAGTTAGGGTGGAGCTCGCACGCAGGAAATAGTGTAAGTTGGCGTCTGGCTCGTTGGTGGGAAAGATGGTAAGTTTTAACATTTAGGTGCCCAACAATGCTTGAAATTTCTTTGACACGGTTAATATATTTAGAAAAAAGAGATGAAAAAGATGGGTGAAGTCCAAACATCATCTTATATCAGAAAAAATCTTAAATTTGACTAAAATCAACAGATTTTGTCGATATTTCTGATATATTAGTTAAATATCAGAGAAACTTTTATATTTCATTTAAAGCAAGCATTTGACATTTCCTAAAGTTTCACGTTTTTGAGTAAATTTCCATCATTTCGATCTAAGACAACCAATATTAATATATAATATATCCATTGACATTTTCACAAATTTGCATATTGATATTTTAAACACAAGTGGTAACTTTTTTCACATCTTGAAATTTAAAAGATGACCTTGCAGATTTCTTCGTGGTATTGTTAGTTTGCTTGATGTATGCATTCGACACTACCGCACCACTAGTTAATTGTTGACTATACAATCAACCTCACCACACCAACGGATAAATACTGTAATTAGTCGAGTTTCAAAACTACATAGTGTAATATGAAAATATTAAAACTTCATATCTTATCGTTTAAAAATAAACCCAAATCTCATACCTTATTAAAATCCAACCCAAATCTCAATGGTGTGAAAGTACTTAAACCTTTCTATTTATTGCAAACAAAATCTTAGATTAGTCTCTTTAAACGTTTAATTCAATGAAAAATGGTAGATTAAGAGAAATTTTTAGTTGTGACGGGAACACAAGTGGTACATCAAGTATTTTAATAGGAATTGAGGGAAATTTTATTTTTAAGTTATTAATTTTTTAGCACACATATCTCATCATTTGTTTAGTGACACGTGATGTCGTTCCGTGTACCAATTAGACTGAAAAATCTCTCGTAGATTAGTTATCAAACTTAACACAATCACGTGATCGGAGGTTAGTGCTCGCCAAGAAAAAGTACCACTTCCCCGCCAATGAGATATTAGAAACCTGAGACCGGTAGCTGAAGACCATTGCACGCTGTGGATCTGTCACGTCAAACTCTCAATCTTCTTCACTATATAAGTTAAACGGATCCAAATCTCAAAAAAACGACGTCACTAATCGAACACTTGAGCTATGAACTCGTGCCTTTCATCCGCCACCAACTGGTGGAGAAGCCATGGAACCTTGCGAACTCTGTACCTGCTGCTGCTGGGTCAGCTCGTCTCCTTCGTTCTGGCAATGATGAGCTTCACTTCCTCGCTCATAGCCACTCTCGGTAGCTTCCACGCCAACCCTTTTCAAATTTCTTGCCTTTTTGTTTCCCTCTTCGTTTCTTCCTAATTTTTCTTTAGGTCATGTTTTCATCGGGTAAAGGGTGTTAACCCGTGTTTTATATACGGCTTATTGTCTGTTTAGCGTGCGAAGTTTTAGTATTTATTCAAGTTTGTAACCGGGTTTTGTAACGAGTTCAATTTGTGCATATTCTCGGTGTTAAGTGGTTGGTGGGTGTGCGCAGGTGTGGATGCGCCTCTTACACAGACCATTCCCACTTACTTGGGTTTGGCTTTGGTTTATGGGAGCATTTTGCTGTATAGGCGTGAGAAATTACGGGTATTTTCGCAGTTTTCAAGCATTAATTGGTTGGATCATTGTTAATTAACTGTCATTTGATTTGCCATTGTGGTTCAATTTCTGAAATGTGGAATGAAGAAGTTGAAAACTTGGGATTTGCAGGTTTCTTGGTATTGGTATGTGCTGTTGGGATTTGTTGATGTTCAGGGGAACTATCTTGGTGAGTGCTAGTTAATGATTGTTGATTGATTGTTAAGTTTTTTGTTATCGATCATTTCTGTAAACATCGGTTTGCTAGTGGTTCGGATCAAATCCATGTCTTCATCACGACATTCGGTTGGACATTGTTTGATTGGTGTTTTGGTTGGGTGATTTTATATTAAGGATGAACCGATTCTTAAGGAATTAGATTTTGCCTGAGCTGTCTCAGTTGCAAAAGAGAGCCGATATCTGTACATGTTTCACAGATCTTTAGATAGCGAGTCACTAAGTAGCCTTCTAAGGAAGCTTAAAGAGAAGGCAGTACAAGACTAGGATTAATATGCTTATAGTTTGCATACATGTTACAATCCTTAATAATGATAGGCTTATAGTTAACATAGGAGAACACGATGCGCTTATACACGTTAGAATCCTTGAAAGGAAAGTTTCCTCATTGCCGAAGGATTACTTGCCACAGATGGAATTGTGATCCCTAATCTGAAGAGATTTGTTTCCATTTTGAAGAAGGAAGGTTTTCCACAAAAGAGGCATGTCGTGTTTTGGTCTGAAATGCCTTACTGCAGAGGAGTTTTGGGATTTTATTGCATATAGGTAACTTTTATATGAACGATGCAGGGAGATATTAACATTGTGTTGTTTTGATGCAGTTAACAAAGCATACCAGTTCTCATCAATTACGAGTGTGACGCTGTTGGACTGTTTCACAATAGCTTGGGTCTTACTTTTAACTTGGATCTTCCTAGGCACTCGGTATTCCCTGTGGCAATTGTTTGGTTCTGCCATCTGTGTTGTGGGACTTGGTTTAGTGCTCCTCTCAGATGCAGGGGTGGGCGGTGGAGGTGATCTTCTCTAATGCCTCTTGGACTAACTTTTCTACTTCTTGAGTGATCTATTAATCATTTTTGTTCATAATTCAGGTGGCTCAAAACCTCTCCTAGGGGACATACTCGTTATTGCAGGCACAATTTTCTTCGCTATGAGCAATGTTGGAGAGGTTGGTGAATCCTTTTGAACTCATATTTTGTCACTTTATCTTTGTAAATGGCACCGGCTGTATGAACGAAGGGAAAGCTTTTCCCAGTGAGATTCACAGTAGAAAACTAGGTGCCTGAAACTTTCACTTTTCTTCCTATGCCATTTTTGTCTGCAGAAGTGCTAATATAATCCAAGATTAAGGAAACCATGCTCTCTCTCTCTCTCTCTCTCAATTTTTTGTTGATTTTGAATAGAATTGGTGTTATGTCATCGGGTAAAGGGTGTTAACCTGTGTTTTATATCATGCACATTACTTCAACGCGATCTTGCATTATTCGTTTCTTCCTAATTTTTCATTAGGTCCTGTTTTCATCGGGTAAAGGGTGTTAACCCGTGTTTTATATACGGCTTATTGTCTGTTTAGCGTGCGAAGTTTTAGTATTTATTAAAGTTTGTAACCGGGTTTTGTAACAAGTTCTATTTGTGCATAACACCTATTCTATTGGTGCTAATATTGTCTACAGAAGTTAATTTTGTAACGAGTTCTATTGGTGCTAATATTGTCTGCACAAGTTCTATTGAGTTACTTCTCATCTCAATCCTTGTTTAACTGCAGGAGTTTTGTGTCAAGAAAAAAGATCGCGTTGAAGTAATTTGCATGATTGGTACTTATGGATTTCTAGTGAGTGTGTGTCAGATGTATCCTTTTCATCACAACAATGCATACAAGACGGTAGCTTCAAATAATCCGTACCATGATTCTTTATTGGAGAACAGAACAATATTTCTTCGATTCCTTAACCCTCTTGCAGGTCTATCCTGGAATTACGGACTCTGGAATCCGTTGCGTGGTCTGCAGATATTGTAAGTAGTCTTAGCTTTGTATAATATGTGAACAGCTTTGCCAATACTTTCTGTATACTCCCGGTGCTCTCTTGCAACTTCTTAAGTTGAATGCTCTTTTCTTTTCCGTTCTTTTCCGCCAGATATTAGCCTGGGCTGGTTATACTCTAGCAGGCATATTGTTCTACACATTTACTCCATTCGTACTCAAGGTCAATTTCCTTCTCATCTCCCGCTGTTTATTTCTTTGAAGTTCTGTAGTGCAAATTAGGATCTGCACGAACTAACTCAATTTTTTCGCATACAGCGGAGTGGAGCCACGTTGTTGAATCTGTCTATTCTCACATCTGATATGTGGGCAGTTGTCGTTCGCATCTTTTTCTACCGCCAGCAGGTACCCTAGTGACACACTCCTATATATTGGAAAGAATTCATTTGTTCATACCTCTTCCATATCCATATATATTGTTGTATACTGATAGCAAATCGGCCTTGAAATGCAGGTGGACTGGTTATACTATGTAGCTTTTTCGGTTGTAGTTATCGGGCTCATCATTTATTCACTAACGTACGTTCTGACCTTGTATTGAAAAAGCTTTATCAAATAGTGAAAGTCCGTCATTAATCATTACTCGGACGCTTGCTTGATTGTTTGCTGTTACAGGGAAAAAGATCCTGCTCCGGTAACTTCACTTGAGAATGGAAATCGGAGCTTGGAATACCACGTTCTTGAAGATGAAACCGCTGCATCCAGAAACGAGTCTCCGACTGCACGAGAGGCGTAGAAGCAGTGTGATGACAAGTAATACTAGAAGCCATGAATGAATGTTATCTTCTGTAGGGACTGACTCAAGGGAGAAGACTCTCTGTTCTTGCTTTTAAGTTTTTATATCTACCAACAGCCTTGACAAGCTCCAATATTTGGAAAATGGATGCCAATGTCATTGTGTCGAGGCAAAATCTTAAGATCAACCGAATGTATGTCTCATTCTCGTGTTTGTCTCTCTCGTCACGTGATGTGTGTTATATGGGGAGAGAGATACGTATGAGATTTATATATACACTCAGGTTGCCCCTCGGTATAGCCGATCTTGTACCCATGTACCAAATGTATCGGTATAGTCCCAAAACTTTATGACATTTTTCAAGTAGAGCATATTATTGTGAGTTCTTTTGCCTTTTCGTATAAGAAATATAGGTGAATTATACACTAACTTCAGGAAAGCAAAACGAAGACGTGACATATGTGATGGAGTTAAAAGGGGTATAAAAAGATTTAAAAAAAAAGAATTTAATTAGAGAAAGGGTATTCAAATTTGGAATATGTCACACCTAGCGCTCATTTTACATCGCTGTTAGCAGAGTTAAGAATACATTTCTAATATCTAAAGAGCTCCCATTAAATACTACTAAGAACTCAAGGCCTTCTATCAGGCATGCTCACTGAACTTGGTTCACTCGTGATTGTCTTTAACGATTCACTTCATCATTTTATTAGTCAACTTTCACACTCTTCAAAGCCTCCATAAACTTTTTTTTCTCAAACAGAAAATAATAGTCACACTATTTTTTTTTTCTCTACACACTTTTGTTTAATCTTATTAGCCTGTTTCCATTTGATTTGATTGAACGTCTAAAAACAATTGTAACTTTATCGTTTTTCTTATCAAATGTGTCCCCGGTCATTAGGCCTAAACATCAAAGTTTCAAAAAAAAAAAAAAAAAAAATTCTAAAACAAAGGCTTAAAGTTACGGATTTTTTTTTTTTCACAAACGATAGTGTTAATGACTTAAATTATTAGTTAAGATAAAAAAAACAATAAAGATTGAACTCGTACCAAAATACATAAACATAATTATTTTAGGAAAACTAATGAAAAAAGCTTGAAAACTTTAAGTTTTAACGATAAGGACAAAATGAAGGGTAAAGTGAATAGTATCATGATTGACTTTTTAGTGTAAAAATATAAGAGCTTGTTTGATATCCTATTTGAAAATTTTTATCATTTCTCAAAACATTTCTTAAGAACATTTTTTGAAAACAATTTTCTTTAAGACTCAAAAACTTGATTGGTTTGCGATTTAAATTTTTTAAATCTTATGACTTAAACTTGATTGAATTGGAGGAGAGACGAAAAAAGTAAAAAAAAAAAAGGAGAAAGAAGAAAAGAGAGATAGATTTGGAGTGAGAGGGGAGGAGGGAGAGAAAAGAAATGAGGGAGTTTAAATTTAGAAACTCTAAAAACTCACTTTTTATGTTTTTAGAGAATAGACTATATTTTTGAGTTAGTATTGAGTTTAGTTTTTGAAAATAATTCTACCAAACAAGTTTTTAAGGCCTAAAACTTGAAAAGTGTTTTTAAGTTTAAAAAATTAGATTCAAGTACAGTACCAAACATGTCCTAATCTTTCGTTAAAATAAAAAGTACTGAAAATTTTTCGTTAAAATTGCCGATTATTTTCCGTTTTTGAAAATAATTCTACCAAACAAGTTTTTAAGGCCTAAAACTTGAAAAGTGTTTTTAAGTTTAAAAAATTAGATTCAAGTACAGTACCAAACATGTCCTAATCTTTCGTTAAAATAAAAAGTACTGAAAATTTTTCGTTAAAATTGCCGATTATTTTCCGTTTTTGAAAATAATTCTACCAAACAAGTTTTTAAGGCCTAAAACTTGAAAAGTGTTTTTAAGTTTAAAAAATTAGATTCAAGTATAGTACCAAATATGTCCTAATCTTTCGTTAAAATAAAAAGTACCAAAAATTTTTCGTTAAAATTGCCGATTATTTTCCACCACTCCAGCCGTCTGCGATAAAGCAACATACTTTGCCCAAACTCTTCTCCCCTATAAAAACCCAAAAACCATAATCCGAAAAAAGATCCAAAATTTCCCTCCTTCCCAAAACCCCCAACAAGCTGACATGGATCAACAGAACTCCACCACCACTCCAACTCCCTCCGCCTCCCAACCATCCATTGAACCACCCCCAACCGCCCAATCCCAGCCTCCACCTCAGCCTCAGCCACCGCCGTCCTCCTCCTTAACAACCACTCCAACCTCCACCCCAAGCCCCCCTTCCCCAAACCCTAACCCTAAACCCTCAACCCCATTGCCCCCACAACCACTACATCAACCGCAACCGCCACCCCAGTCCCTTCCACCCCCTTCGCAGCCCAGGCCTCCCTCCACATTGACTCGTCCTCCTTGGCAGCAGCAGTCCCACTTCCACCAGTACCCTTCGCCTTCTTCTTCCGCTTCGTCTGGGCCTCCTCCGCCGCCTTCACCCTCTCAGCCTCCCCCACCGAGGGGTGGCATTGCCATTGGTGTTTCTGCGCATCACACCGGCCCTTCTACTCCTCAACCCACTCCGTATTCGTCTTCCTACGGGCATCATTTTGGTGGGATGGGCCGTGGCGGCGTCTCTGTGCCCGAACCTGTATCCAATTCCAGTCCTTCCCAGGTGACATTTCAATTCCGTTTAACATTGTATCATTGCAACTTCCATTAAAGAAAAAGAAGATAATTTTACTGATTATTTGATATTTTGGTATATGTTGGGTGACCAATTTGGCCTACAAGTTTGTAATTTTATTGTGTTTCTATTTGGTTTGGAACTTTGATAGATGTTTGTGTGGTTTACGTGCTGGAATATGTAATGGTAGTTTTCGGGGATATATAGGTGAGACCATCAATGCAAGGAATGCAGGGAATAGGGATGATGGGTTCACTCGGTTCTAGTTCTCAAATGCGGCCAACTGGGATTCCGGCACACCATCCACAGAGACCAGTTCAATCCTCTCTTAGACCACCATCTACTGCGAGTAATCAGTCCCCGTCTTCCCAAGTCAGTATCCACTTGCCACACCCACATTTTACTATTTTGATTTCCATGTGCAATATATAGTTTGTGGACACACGGGAATGTGGATATATAGTGTAAGCAAAGAAATGACTGGAGTTGTATTGTAGGTTCATTGTTCGTGGTGAGTGTGGACGAGGGACTTTAAAGTTCCATGGAACCTAGGCCAAAATTGTCAGGAATGCTTACAAAAATTAGATAGTGACTTGAATGCAATACATCTGAGGGAACGTTCAAATAACTCATTAAACTATGTCATTTGAAAATCCTTATTTTAGTGCATTTGTAGCGTTTTAGTAGCAGCTTTGTAATCCTTGAGTAGTTGGTCATGCTCTTCTAGTGCAATTTAAATAATTGAGTCTAAACTTTAAAGTTCCTTGGGACTTTGAAAGTCCCCTATCCAAAATAGGGCAAAGGATTTGAGTATGATGATTAGAAAATATGTTATATTATTGTTTGAATTTTGTCTCCAGGAACCTGGCGTCATTTTTCCTTCAGTATTGTGTAAGTTGAGTATGCCCTGGGGTTCCACTTATGTGTCCTGCTTGTTCTTTTGTGGCCCAATGGGACAATGCATTCATTTGCTATTGACCTTTATCTTTGTTGGTGCATCTTCTCTATACCAATTCTTGTTGTTGTGCCTTGTTAAAGATATCTGGTGTTAATAGTTTTTTCCCCCTTCTTTTTCATTTTCTTCAAGTATGCTTGCTTATTCCATTTCCTTTATGCAGAATTTCCAAGGGCACAGCCTTTTACGAGTTTCATCAGTTGGATCTGCTAGTTCATCACCAAATGCATCTCAAGGTTTGCAGCCTCATACTCAGCCATGGTTGTCATCTGGGCCACAAGGGAAGCCTCCTATTCCTTCCCCTTCATATAGGCAGCAGATGAACTCGCCATCCATGCAGCAAAGATCACATCTTCCGCAGCAACAGCAACAGTCTCATCCCCATCCTACAGCTTCACAGCAGCAGCACCATCCAATGCCTTCAGCTCCCCAGCAGCAGCACCATCCCCTGCCTTCTGCTTCACAGCAGCAGCACCATTCCCTGCCTTCTGCTTCACCACAACAACCCCTGCCTTCAGCTTCACAGCAACAGCATACATCATCTGTGCAACAAGTTCAGCAATCAAGGGTCCCACAAACCACGCCTCGTCAGCAACAGATCACAAGGGTTCAGGGCCCTGTGAATCCTAAGTCTTCCACTCTTGTAGCTGCACAGCCTAACACAGTCCAATCAGGGGCCCAAAATAAAACTCTTAGTCCAGAAATAGATGAATCTTGTAATAGGATTCTTGGCAAAAGAAGCATCCGTGAGCTAGTCAACCAGGTGAGTCATGTTGGCCTTCTTTCTTCGTACTTTGATATCCGCTCATGCTTGCATTTGTTCAGAAGTTTCATCAGTACTCATTGTTAAAGCTAATTGTAAGAGGCATTCCTTCTGCACTAGAGTGGATGTACATATCATTTGTTAATGGTTCTTAAAGGAACAAGTCTCACCTATTTATATTTGGGAGAGAAAAATTGTCTCTAGCATGTTAATTGGCAGCCCTGATCTCTCTAAATTGCTGTATCCTTTTCTAACATATACTCCTTATTAATAAGAGGGGATTGCCTAACCCAACCGCTTGACGATAATATCTTTTTTGTTTATATTTAAAATTAATATCTTTCTTTTTGCTTCCAGTTACTGAGTTTTCTGCTTTTGGACAGATTGATCCATCTGAGATGTTGGATCCAGAAGTTGAAGAAATTCTCATGGACATTGCAGATGAATTTGTTGATTCTGTGAGTAATTGAGCTAGTATTTTGTGTTTTGTTTTTTCTTGCACTTAAAGGATATCCCTGATTATTAAGCATGTATTCCTAAGCAAATTTTGGGATGTTAAAATTGCCTTATTTTGTGATTCTGGGCCCTTTTGTACGCTGCTAATCATATAATATGATCTACATATGCTACTTCATATAATATGATCTGCATATGTTTCACAATTTCTTAATTTGTAAGTGCTCGCTATCTTTCTTTTTTTTTTTTTTTTTTTGTTAAACTCATGTCCTTTGTGTCCATATCTTCTCTAGCTGAAATAGGTGCTTGAGTATGAATAATTTGCCTTGATAAGAAAGCATTGTGTGGCCAGCACTAACTTCATAGGAAAAGGCTTTATATTGCTTATTTGTTTTGTATGGTCTTTGCTTCACCGCTTTCAGTATGCTGTACAATGATTGACTTTTCATTATCCCCAGTTATAGCTTTCTATATATATCTATTCTGTTTTGTTCATAATTCTTATTGTGACAATATGCTTTTTTTCCATTTGCAGATTACAACATTTAGTTGCTCACTAGCCAAGCATAGAAAATCAACTCAATTAGAAGCAAAAGACATACTTCTACATATTGGTTAGTTATGTGGGAGAAGTGCTAGATGATATTTCTGTTCACATTATGTACACTAGTGCTTAACCTTCTGTATTTATTTTTCTTTTACAGAAAAGAATTGGAATATAACTCTGCCTGGGTTCGGTGGTGATGAGATTAAAGGCTTCAGAAAACCAGTAAGCATGGATTGACTGGTTACTAGTACTTTAGCATCGTAAAACTTAAAAACCTATGTTTACTTACGGGGTTGCAAAAATAATAAACCTTTTAATGCTTCATGAATTGTTGATTGCTTATTGTGATGGTTTTGCAGCTTACAAATGATATCCACAAGGAGCGTCTTGCTGTGGTAAGTTTGGCCTGCGTTTTCTTTGCTGTGTTTTGACTTGAACTTGGGTGGTTAGAATAATGCATCATGAATGATTATGAAACATGTAAAGCTTATCCTTAGGTTTGTCCTATTTGATTTTCTTTAATTTTCTCCTTCCCTTCTTTGGCAGATAAAGAAGTCCATAGTAGCAACTGAGACAGCAAATGCTAGGAATCCCACTGGACAAGCTGCTGGAAATGCAAAGGGTAGTCTTGTTAAGACACCTGCCAACATCATAAGCTCCCTAAACTCTAAAATGCGTGAAGTTACATAACGACATTAACTGTTATGAGCAGATTTTATACTACAAAGGTATGTCAAATATGATGCTGATATTTGTGTTCAATAAACAGGAGCTTGTCCTGGAGCTAATTGCTGCTGTTATTTGCGTTCAATTATCTCATTACGCTTACTACAAGTATATGCATGTAGACAGTTCAGGATTTCTTTAGAGAAAAGTTGCTCTTAGTTTCGAGTTTATAATGTCTACCCTTTAATCTCGCTCTTAACTAGCCCTGGTGGTTGGTTGGCCAACGGATTGGTTTTCACTTTCGTTTGTGTGAGGTTATTAAATGAATACTAGATGTAGACGGTAGTTCTTATAACTTCTCTCTTCCATTATTTACCAAAAAGGAAAAAAAAGGTTCCTGCTTTCCTGGATTGGGATTTGATAAATATACTCAATTTTATCAAATTTTGTTGGTCTATAATTAGCATCATGAATTAATTTTCGGGTTTTGGTCTCGGGTTTAACAGAGTTCCATATGATCAAGTGAGAGGAGCGGTTGTCATGTTCAGTTGTTTCAGTTTATCACCTTTATCTTCTGCCATTGTTAAATACTGCATGTGTGGTTCTATCCATACGATGTGAAGTACTAATAGTTGTGCTTCTATCCATATGTCGACAGGTATCTGGCATCGCATACCTGGTGCAGGGGCCAAATTTTGCTGTAAAATTTCTTGATCTGACGGTAGAATGAGGAGAATCCTAGCAGCCGAAGTCTTCCTGGAGGTAAGGAACCATAACTCTTCCCTGGGGTAACATTGAAAGTACGAAGTTCTACTTCCACAAATTGATTGATCCCCGAACTTTTCGGATCACCATTAAACCAGTTGTGTATATGGAATAACTCAAATTTGTCACTTGGAGTGCATATTGGCAAGTTCATAGTTTTGTATTCTTCTTATCATCCATCTTTACCGATATAGTAAAAATTTAGATCGAAATCTCATTCCATTAAAACCAACGAAATCCAAATTCATATTTTTTAACTTTTTGATGGAGATTTTCCTCATGATATGAAATAGCGATTTGCTGGATATATAAGATATAGCTAATAAAACGGATCTTGTGTTCTGGAATTGAAATCAAAGAAAGATATTTAAAATGGCTCGTATGTGGGCTTAACATCTGGTCTACTGATTCCACATTAGATGTTTGGTTTTGATCTTTCCTTTGCATATATTTCATACTTTTTCTTTCATGATACGTACATTCAACAATTATATCTTGTATGTACTATGTGCGAATCTAATAAATCTTTGCAACCGTTATATCTTGCATAAAGCGGATTTTTTGACCACCAAATTATGTTTGCTTATGTGGGAAGAAAAGTGGCTTTTCCATGTGTTCCCATATGTTTTTGTCTTGGCATTAAAAGGATATTGTGAATTATTTTAAAGGAAAACTAATGAAAATGGCTTGAAAACTTTGAGTTTTAATGATAAGGACAAAATAAAGGGTAAAGTGAATAGTATCAAGATTGACTTTTTAGTGTAAAAATATGGTTTTTCGTTAAAGTGAACAGTACCGGGTGTTTTTTGTTAAAGTTCCCTTATTTTAATTGGTTGGGGCACCACTGTATTGTCTTACGCATGTGGATTTCTTTGTCGCATGTTGAATGCCATTGCCACGTGCTCGAGAGATTTTTTAGTGTACCGAAAATACGGTTTGGAATACCAACTGTCATGGTGCAAGTAGTTGAATACTTGAAAACCACAATTTAAGGTTGAATTTCAGGTATGCTTACATGATTGAAATGAAATAAAATATCGACCGGATTGATACTTGGTTGTTCAAGTTTGGAATAAACTACCTATTTCTTGGTGACCTTGGGTTATTCAGGTATGAGATAAACTGATTTTTATTAGAGGCCCACTCAATTTTTTTTGATTCATTGTGTGTTTGGTAGATGCAAGAGACGTCAAGAAAATAAATGATAATTCATACCGTGCGTACTCATTCATGGTAAGTAAATGTGTTCTTAGCTTTTAGGCGGCTCTCTTAAATTTGAAGAAAAGTGAGCAACAACCTTTTAGGGCTTGTTTAACAATGGCCAAAGGTGTTTTTGCAATGGGCTGAGCTTAGTCAAATTAGTTAGAGTAATATGCTTCTTTTTAAGCACTAAAATTCGATTCCCCATCTCTGTATTTCAAAAGAAATTGAGGTGTGATATTCACACATCTCTTTTTATTTCTCACACACCTTTCTAATTTTCGGCCGTTGAATCGGATGAATTGAAGAATATCAAATGACAGAAATTAACCAGGAGTGTGTGAAAAGTTAAAAATGGTATGTGGATAGTACATCCCAAAAAATTAGGTGAATTTGTAATAAGTATTTTATTGTGTTTTTAACAAAAGCGCTTTCTGAAAAATAAAAAATGATATTCTTTAAATATGTTATTATGCTTTTAACAAAAACGTTTTTAGCGAAAAAATATTTGATATTCTTTCTCAAAGTTTTAGGATATTTAATTTTTATCTTTAAAGGTAGGATATTTAATTGTAAAAGTGGGGTCATCTTTTTATATAATGGTGGTGTGACTGGAGTCACCATCCAAATTCCAAAGCTTATGATAGTCGTGTCATCACATTATTCAATTGATTTTAATACAGCTAGGTAGGACCGGGATTTATTTAAAATATACTTTGACAGTGAGCTCGTGTTTGAATTATTTTAATAATGAAATTAATGAATAATGTTTAGCTGCTGAAAGAAGAATATCAAATCCTGCTGAAAATCAGTTGAAAATGAACACGTGTGTATTGTTAAAGTGATGTTGGTTAAAGTTTTCAATTCTTTAATCATTTGGCCATGTGTCCATTTTTTAATTGGGCACTTATTCATTTTAGTAAGACTTGCTGCTCTTCTTTCAGCGACCAAACACTATTCCTAATTAATAGATTAGCCTAAACACCACTTTCAATTATTGCAATATTTAATAACCAAGAAGGATAAGAATCACTATAAAATGACCAAAACCATATGGTTGTGTTGTGTGGGAATCTCAAAAAATACAGTTGAGGGGGATGACAATAATGAAATCCTTGTATTGATCTTCGGATTTAGAAATTGAGGAAGATCGCATGTTAGCTTAATATGTCTTATTTTATTTTATTGGCATCACAAAAATCATTATAAATAACGTAAAACTCCGTAAAAACTAAGAAATTTGTAATTCAAAGTGATTAAGATTATTTACTATGAGTAAATTTGTTACAAATATAAGTTAAGTCAGTTAGCTAGATCAGTATGCCTAAACTTTTACCTCGATCATTTTAAATTATTGATTGGATTAAATTTGATGATAATTATATCATGTTTCAATTTTTTTTTTCTTTATGAAAACGATCATCAGTTATGTCATATAAGTAGACCAAAAAATAAAAAAAGTTCTGTCATATAAGAATTTGATAACAAAAAATAATACCTAAAATGTATGTGGTCTACTCAAATTATAACATGTGAAAAATACACCACGTAACAAAGTATTATATAATCATATAAAAATTTATAACTGTGGTAATTAAAAATAGTTTCCACTCGAGGCCCTAAATTCGACATCCCCTCCTCGCTTATCAAAATTCGAGAAGAAGTTGGAAGTTGGAACCCATCTATTTTTCATCGGTACTCACGAGGGAGTATCCAAAAATACTAACTATCTTATGTGGTACAATCAAATAACGACACGTGTCTTTTTGTACACACAAACACTAAACTAAAACTGGTTACCAAACATTCAGCGCTCTAGTATCCAACCGTTATTCTTCTCCCTCGCCAACCTTCACCAAACTGTCCTCTTTGTCGTCGTCGTTGCCAGCCGGTACCCCTACACCTTCCACCACCTCCCCTCCCATGCATCTCCTTATCTCTCTCTCTCATCGTCGTCTGCAATTCTGAATAAACAGCTCCAAACTTTAAATCCTGTGATCTTCCACGAGTTCTAGTCTCGCAGATTTCCAAAGTTATGTGTCATTATATAAATAGGGAAAAATTAAAATTTTCAGCTCTCCCTCCACTTGTAATATAACATATGACACCTCGTGTTTCAAGCACTGTTCCAAAAATCCGCCGCCTAAGCTCTAGGCGGCTGGTCACTTCCCCGATTAATGCCTAGACGTTTAAAAATTAAGAAATGACGCCTAGACAGCCTAGGCAGCCACCTAGCCTGCCCAATCCTGCCTAGACACCGACTAGGTTGCGACTCATTTAGACAGAAAATAAATAACTTTCATTTTGCATTTTATTTTATTTTTTCAATAAATTGTAAAGACTTGTTGAATACTTAAATGAACACACATTATATGTTTATTTCCCATGTTTTCATTATGTCCAATACTTCATAATACATATGTCATTCTATTTTGTAGTTTGTGATGAAATTATATGTATTTTAAATATAAACATTACATGAAATATAATAGATTTACTTAAATCTGCCTAGACGCCCGCCTAGGCCCTGCTTAGGTGCTAAGTTCCAGCCCGCTATCTGACTAATGCCTAGCATCTTTTAGAACTTTGGTTTCAGGCACATTGAAGAATCTCTTTGCATAAAAAAGTCAGTAACTTGAATCCGGACAGGTATTATCCTTTTGTAATTCCATTTCGGCATTTCCGTCCCCTCATGAATATTCCCTTGAGCTGGGGATTTTCACCAAACAAAGTTACAAAGTGACCGGACAAGATCGAGATCCACTTGAAACATGCCACCTGTCCATCATGATTGATCCCAAACACACACACACGTCTCCTCCTCATCTTCCGGCACCTAAAACCTATATAAACTCGCCGAGATGCCTCTTGAGGCACCATCGCTCTCGTCGTCCCTCCCAATCCGACGAAACCCAATTCGGATTATTATATATATGTGTGTATGTATATGTGTATGCATACTATAATATAGTATATCTCTCGCATATACATACACATTATATAAATACACACTCGCGGTTGTTTCCTCTGGGATTGTTCTTATCGTTCTGAGAGAGATCGGAGAAGGCGTTTGTTCATGGAGAGCACGATGACGAATTCTAACGGCGTGGCTGTCGATGGCGAAAGAGACTGCGTTCTGGCTAATCATCTGAAGCGCGAGAAGCTCATTATCGATACCGACCCTGGAATTGGTCAGTTTTCAGTTTCAATTTGCTTGATTTTTTTTTTCCAAGTGATATGCATTAGTGTTCCTATTGCGTGTTTGGTTGCTATAAAATTTGAATTTTGAGGGTTCCTTTTGCTCTGTTTGGTTGCTGTGAAAATTTGCGATTAGTAACCAGGCTGGAATTTTAAATTTTCAACTTTGTGATCGTTCCTTTTGATCTGTTTGGTTGCTGAGAGAGTAGTAACCTGGCTCAAATTTTGAATTTTGGGATGGTTCCTATTGCTCTGTTTGGTGACTGAGAAAATGTGGGAACAGTAACTAGGATGAATTTTTAATTTTGAGTTTTGTGATGGTTTGGATTGTGGAAAGTGGGGAACTTGTTTGAGCTAAGCTAAAATTGAGGAAAAAGAACTGCTGGGTTAGGCTCAATTGTCTTACTTTTAGGCTTAGCTTGTGTTTTTCGTTCATTGAATCGTCTGCATTTTGATGATTTCCATTCTGAATATTTGATTGGTTTTATGCCAAATGGTGATGGAGTTAGCGTGAGGATCTTTAGTTATTGAATTAATTATGCATCCGAAATGTGATCGTATTGTGGAGTGTTTCTTTGTCCACGCCTCACTTTTTATTTGGTGATTTTGACTTTTGCATAACCATTTTTTGGATAATAATAGTTTGGAACTGGGAGTTGAGGAGCATGAAGGGAAAGCTTAGTTATGTTGAGAGTTGTCCCACATCGGAAACGGAAGCTTTACCTTAATAGTTTACATATTCTTGGGCCTCTTCCTCCTATTGCCGATTGGATGCTCACATTCTAATGAGTTTTATTGACTTATTCATAGTTAATCAATGAATTATGGAAAAGTAAAGAATTGGGATCATATATTATGA